AGGAGTTTTAAGAAAAAAAACACCTTTCGGTGTTACAGCCCTTTCATCTTTTTTGGTCTTCATTAAAGTTATGAAAAACAACCTCTAATTTCACTTTCTGTCAACTAAATATGAGAGGAGAACCCAGGGTTAAGAGGAGACCTGGAGGATGCAGGAAGCAGTCAGGAAGGAGGGTTGGCTCCTGTGCCTGGGAAGTCCTGCCGGCAGGAGGGGCAGGCCCTTACCCCTCACCAGCACTGGGGCCTGGCCACAGAGCTGTGGGCAAAGGGGTCTTCAGGAAACTTTGTTTTAAAACTACTTTGTATCCCTTCTAGAAATTCACTTAATATATTTGAGACTCAGATTCCTCACTGGTTAAATGGGGGTAATGACAGCTGCCCTGAGGCCGGTTCCACAGAGGTGACCCTTGAAAAAATCTATGCGCATGACTGTTCCATAAACTGTGATCCTCCTCGTTTGGATTGGGCATTCCTGTTCTCAACTAAATCTTGATTTGTAATTACTATTGGGCAATATAAAAGAGAGGACAATAAAATAATTATTTGACTTTAAAATGATTTTTTTATGTTCTTTATCCAGGAAATTTGCAATTATAATTAGCTTACCTAGTCTGAGCACTTAAACAGACTGATATCAGAGGAGATTTAGGGTGACAAAAATTTTAAATAAAATAGGAAGGAAGGAGGGAAAGAAGGAAGGAAGAAGGGAGGAGGGAAGGAAGGAAGGAAGGAATGAAACACAAATAGGAAAACAGCAGAAAGGGTGGTTAACCCAGATTCCTTTGGTATGAAATGGCTTCATACCAAGAAATAAAAATACGCACATTTACTTTAGAGCATAGTGAATATTTGAGATATTTACATGTGAAGAGTGCTGAGCCCTCCTTAGAAGGCAGTGGGTCTGCATGCTTCATCCACCACCTTCAGGGCAGCAAGGAATGGCCTCCCCTGGACCCTGGGGCCATCCTTGTGCCCAGCCATAGGCACCGGCTTCCAGAGCAGCTCCTGGTGGTTGTTGGGGAGGGGGCGCCTTTCTGTCCTGGTGGTCGAGGACAGTGCAGTGAGGGCACGTGAGGGGGCAGAGAGAAAACTCAGCACCAGGCTCTTCCACTGAGCAGATGGAGGGCATGTGGACGTGGCAATGGGTTGGCATGAAGGGCTCTGGAGTTGGCCAGATATGCGTTGCCCTTCTGGCTGTGCTGCCTAGCAGTGTGACCTTGGGCAGGTTGTACGTCACTCTGAGCCTCAGCTTTGTCATGTGCATCAAAGGGAAGACGCTGCTTGCTGTGAGGGGCCGTAGGATGCAGTGGAGCCATGCAGTTGGTGGAGGGAGGATGTCTGGCCCACCCTGGGGCCTCTGCGCCGTGAGTGCCTTTATCCTTCCCCTCTCCCTGAGAAGTGCCCAGTGACCCTCATTGGCAGGGCTGGGAGGACAGGTTGTGTCCCTGCTTAGGTCCGATTTTCAGGGAGCCAGGTTTGCATTCTGACTCTGTGACATGACCCACTGGGGACCCTGGGGTAAGTGGGAACAAGAGAGGGTGAAGCTTTTGATTGCACAAGGCAGACACGAAGGTCCTCAGAGATGCCCTTGGCACAGGGGCTTCCTTCTCGCGAGCACACCATCACTCTCTCATTTCCTCAGATAAAAAGCTCACCTGTAGTCCACAGATGCCTCACAATCAAGGGCAGGCAATTCTGGTCACTGGGAGGCGTTGTCTGGAGGCCTGTCCACTCAGCCCTGGGCCCACACCACTGCTGCACCCCTGAGGAGGGGCAAGTTTGAAAGCCACACTTCTGGATTGGACCTCCCTTCTTCAGGGGAGTCCCCTGACCTGTTCTGGCCATAGGCTGGTTAATGGCAGGGCTGATTCTAGAACTGAATGCTGATCCAGGGCTTATCTTGTGACACCATGATGCCCCTTGACAGAGGAGCTCTTGCTGTCCCCAACTTTGATTCAGTCACTGCATATCCAGTTGTCCCTCGGTATCTGAGGAGGATTGGTTCCAGGATCCCCCTTGGATACCAAAATCCAAGTCTCTGATATAAAATGTGATAGTATTTGCAGATTACCTATGTACATCCTCCTATATACTTTAAATCATCTCTAGATTACTTATAATACTCAGTGCAATGCAAATACTATGGAAATAGTTATACTGTATTTTAGGATTTGTATTATTTTTACTGTTATATTGTTATTTTTAAAAAACATTTTTGATTCACAGTTAATTGAATCTGCAGATGTGAAACCTACAGATTCGAAGGGCTGCCTCTATTAGGTAAGGTAACACTGTCTGCTCTGAAATTTTGGTGACTTAGTAGCATGGACATTTCTCTCTTGCCCGTGTAACAGTTTGGTGTGGCATTTCTGATCGGCAGGTGCGGTTCCATCCCATGATGGCTCAGACGCTTATGATTGTTCGTTCCGTGGTTGCGTGAGCTCCTGGGCCTTGCTGCCTCTTTCTCTAGATGGTGGGAGGAGAAGGAGATCTGAGGGACTGCAGACACCTCTTAGAAGGCTTGACCTGGAAGAGGCACCCGTCACTGTGACTCATGCTCCATTGGTGAGCGCTGTCCTGTGAGGCCATGCTTCACTACAAGGGAGGACAGTCTTGCTGTGTGCCCAGAAAGGAGCAAAACAGAAAGCTGGGTTGCTGGGGCACAGCTAGGAAACTCTACTGCTGGCCACCCTCCAGGTGGCCAAATATCTGTGTTGCTCTCTGTCCTGTGCAGAACATGCTCACACACCCTGGCCTCAAAGCGGCAGTCTTTGCCCTCAAGTCTCATGTAGCTTCTCAAGGTCTGGTGAGCTGCGAGCTAGCAAGGCAGTTTATCTGCCCTCAAGATACAACTGGGATGCAAGGACGAGAAGGCTGGCCCGTGTCCATGGGTGACATGCCACATCCATGGATGGGGTGGAGTTTTGCTGGCGGACAATGTGAGGCGCTCTACCCTGGCAGTGGGGACGCTGCATGGTGAGACCTGCCTCTGCTTGCTGTGAGAGATGTCCTTGTCCATTGTCCTTCAGAGTCCCTGCCTACCCTCTAGGAGGCACTTCCTTGTCCACCCACTCCGTGGTCACATCTGACACCAAGGGGCGCATCTGGGCATGTGTCTGCTTCTGATTAATGGGCACTTTTTATTCACAGGCTCTTATAGGCCAGCAAACAGTTTCTTTGGTATTCAATTCCCTCAAAAACTTGGTAGGTTTCTCAACTATTTGCTTCCAGTCAGTTCCAAATACTAGTATCAGCAGCTAAAGTTCTTTCCAAGATCTCCTCCTCAAGTGTACTTAAATTCTTTCCTGCCCGGAGCCGTCCTCCCTCACAGTTTAATGAGACATCAGAAACAGTAGGCTTGGAAGGTTTTGAGTTTGCTAGGCTGCCATAACCAAGTACCACAGATTGGCTGGCTTAAACAAAAGAAGTGAACTGTGTCTCAGTCCAGGGGACTAGAAGCCTAAGATCAAGGTGCCAGCAGGGGTGCTCCTGCCCAGGGCCAAGGGCCGGGAGGGAGACGCTGCTCCGTGCCTCTCTCCTAGCGTCTGGTGGTTTGCTGGCAATCTTTGGTGTTCCTTGGCTTCTCTGTGTCACCTCAGCCTCTTCTTTCATCTTCGTGCCACGTTCTCCTTGTGTGTCTGCCTCTTTGTCCAAATCTCCCCTTTTTATGAGGACTCCGGTCATACTGGATAGGGGCCCATTCCACTCCAGTGTGACCGCATCTTTACAATTGCATCCGTGATGACCCTATTTCCAAATATGGTCACATTCCGAGATATTGGGGATCAGAACTTTAGCATACGATTACTTAGGGGACAGTGTTCACCCCATCATGGAAGAGAAGGAAGTGTCTTTAATTCGATCTTTGTTACAGGGCTGGGACCCTCTGCTTAACTGAGAATTATCAATGGGCCTTTGTTCTCAAAGCCCCTTTTATCTCTCTTCCAGCTCTTCAGTGCCCACATTTCTGAACTCTCTTCAAATATTCTTCCTAGAAGGAAAACCCATCCCCATTAGAAGGAAAGGAAAGGGGCATACGGTGAACACCTACTATGTGCCAGCGTCTGTCACATATCTTGTATCTCTTTTCTCATTTGGGGATTCTGTGAAATGAGGATGGATCGTACAGGCCTGGGAGGAGAGAACTTTTCTGGGAACAACCTCTACACCCTGTGCCCACTCTCTAACTTTTTCAAGCCTTTGTTCTGATGGCAGCTTCTAGGCGAGCCTTCCCTGAACACTCCATTTAAAATTAGACTGCTCTGCATTTCTCGTCTCTCCTTTCCCTTGCCCCCATGGCATTCATCCTCACCACCTTCCAACCGAGTGTGCGATTTCCTAAGTTTTGAGTTCATCGTCTGTCTCTCAGCACTGCTGGGCTTCACAAAGACAGCAGAGAGTTTGCCTGCTCTGTTTGCTGAAGTGTTCAGTGCCCAGAGCTGTGCCATGCAGGAAACTCAGGGCGCATTCAGTAGAGCCCTATTGGGAGAATGGATTGGAGGTGTCTGGATCTTCCCTGCAAGACTGAGGCTGAAGGCAAGCAGCGGGGCTGTAGGAGCTGCAGTGAAGCAGATGGGCTTAGCACCCCCGGGGCTGGTTGGAGTCTCCGCCCGATGCTCTATCAACTGGGTAGCCTGGGAAAAGGCAGTTTATCTTTCTGTTCTTTAGTTTCCTCCTTGGAAAATGGGGCAATAACAGTACATCTCTCCCAGGGCTGTTGTGAGGATTAACAAGTAGCGCGCATGAAGGAACACTTGGCAGGGGCTGGGCATGCTGGAAGTGTTCAGTAAACGTGGTTTCTACTTGTTAAAGCCGTTGTTAATAACACCAATTTTCACAAAAGAAAACCTCTCTGCTTTTTCCTGTGTCTTTTCACTGTTGATATATTTTGAACTTGACCCCTTATCTTAGAGGTCATGAAATGGTACCTCTGTAGGTAAGAAAGCACAGGATGGCTTTTGCGGTAAAACACTTCATTTTATTCCATTTCTTTCCTACCAGTTTCCTTGGACAGTCACGTGCGTGTGCAGCCGAGAGGACGCTGGACTCCAGGCAGCAGGTTCTGTCGACCCCACCTGGCTGGATCACCTCAGCCTGTGAGTCTTATGGGCCTCGGCCTGTTTATTCATGAAATAACAGGATTTCTTTCTCAGTAGAGTATTTGAAGAGAGTTCCAACATTTGGGGCGTTGAAGGGTTGGAATAGAGATGAAGCCGGAAGGGACTTGGAGGAACAAAGGCCCGTTGATAATTTTCAGTTAAACTGAGGGACCCCAGTGATGTGTAAGGCACCTTCAGTTCTCACTTCCCCGATACTGCCGCCTATGGGTCAGTCTGGAATATTCCTTCACAGTCGCAGTTGCCGCAGTCTCTAGATTGCCTGTGCTGCCAAGCTTGCCACACCCACTCAGCTTCTGATGCCATTTAGGCTGGAAGTGCCTTTGGTCTTGCGAAAATCTTTTCCTGAGCCATCTCTGACCTGCAGGATTAGCTTTGGTTCTCCAGCTTCACTGTGCAGTTCTTCTCCCGCAGGGACCTGGTGCCCAGCAGGCCTGCTCCTCCCCCATCCAGCAAGGCTGGAGCAGACAGGTGCAGCAAGAGGAGGAGTGAGGGAACGGGAGCACTGAGAGAGTGAAGTCACTAGCTAGTCCTACTGTCTCTGCATCTCTTTTCCAACAGGACCTCCTTCAGGGCCAGCAGAAATGGGACTAGATGGTTGCATTTTGAGTGTGTGTTTTATTAATGAAGGGCGAGACAGCAGAGGAGACCGTAATGATATGATAGTATGTCTGATCTAATTATGCTAATCGATTTTTATGGCTCATCAGAGGGAATCCCGATGGTCTTGTGTCACGAATTCCCCGGAGATCTGGATGGAGCGGCTGCCCCAAGACTTGGAGGGCTGTTGGGAGAACATCCCAAGACTTTACAGAGTTAGGAAGCTTCTGTGGTTCCAGGCCACCGTCTGTCCCATCCAGCGGAATGTCTGGGTGGTGGAGGGTGGGAGGGGGTGTTGCCCTCGGAATTGGGGAAAAACCTGCAAAGAGAATGGATCTGGGAGGGACCAGGAGTGGAGAGGTGGGGGCTGCCAGAGCTTGTGACTCCAGAAGGGGCAGCGGAGTCTCCCGGGTGGGTAGGCTGCCGCATGAGTTGTGTGTGTGGCTCCTGGCCTGCTCTGGTGACAGAAACTGCAGCCTCACTGCATATCAGAGTCCTGTGAAACAGGGGCCTTGCCCTTGTACAGATTCATCCACCCTGCTGCCTCCTGCTGCCCTCTGCTCTCTTCCCACCCATAGACTTTCAAGCACACTTTTCACCCCACAGATTCCCCTGCTTTAGCCTGAGTATTACCCAGTTCCTGAGCTGTCTCTGACCCGCAGGATTAGCTTTGGTTCTCCAGCTTCACTGTGCAGTTTCTCCCTGTGTCTTCAGTTCTTATCTCGCTTTCCTTCTGCCTAGCTCTCCTTCCTTCCCCCAGAACTGTGCCTACTTTCATGGCTGGTCTGGACTCCATTTGCAGGTGGGCAGGTAACATGTTGGTTATTGAAGGCATCCTGGGAACCCCAAGACACAAATAATCCTCCTTTCACCTCATGCCTGCCTAAAATTCCACACGTCGTTTATTTATTTGTTTTGGCTTAAACCGCAAGTTCTTGTACAGAGCCCACCTTTCCGGGGCATGTGAGGGAGGGTGTGTGGCGTGCTGTGCTATCACCCGTCTGCTGGGGGAATCATTTCCAACCCTTTCTTGAGGGGAGTTCTTGAGAGTGGTAGGGAGAATGGTGGCCACATTGTCATATTTTGACCAGCGCTGCCCAGAGCCATGTCTCCCGTGGTCACGTGTAGGACACACCAGTGTATCCCTCTGTCTTTGTGCAGCTGAGTCTGCCGACTCTGGGTTTACGGCCTCTGGGCAGAGCACCAGCAGTCCCTGGCTGGCCTCTGGTCTTTCTGCTCCGCCAGAGGCCAAGCTTAGCAGGGAAGGGCTCATGTGCTGACTGGGCGGCCCAGAGTGCCTCCTTAGGGCTGGTGGCCTGAGTCTCAGAGGTTTGGGTGCAGGGGAGTCAGGACAACAGGGGTGGAGCCGTGGGTGTAGAGAAGGCAACCAGAGTCTGGCAGAAGCTAGTTTGTGAACATGAAGTGTATTCCTACTGGGGTCCTGGGCACTCTGGGCACTCTGCGTTGTTGAAGTGTGGGACTCAGAATTCACTGGTGAGAGCAGCCGCTGGCTGTATTAGTTTTCTATTGCTACCGTAACAAATGATCACAAACTTAGGACTTAAAACACAAACGTATCATCAGACAGTTCTGTAGCTTGGAAGTCCAGCTGAGTTGCGGTCAAGGTGTCAGCAGGGCTGTGCTCCACTCCGGATTCACTTTCTGCATTCACTTGCCCTTTCCACCTTCTGGAGTTCCTTGACTCATGGACCCCTTCTTCTGTCTTCAAAGCTGGCAACCTTGCATCTCTCTGGCCACATCTTCCTTTCTGACCACAGCCCGGGAGGGTTTCTCTTCTTTTAAGGACTCATGTCATTAGATAGAGCCCATCTGGACAGACCAGGATAACTCAAAATGCTTAACCTTACTTACAGCGGCAAAGTCCCTTTTGCCATGCTAGGTGACCTATGCACAGAGTCTGGGGGTTGGCACGTGGCCATCTCTGCTGGCACACTATTCCGCATACCACCGTAGTAGTACCTAGACAAGCCTGAGCAAGACCCTAGGAATGAGCTGCTGGGAAGACTCTCACAGAGCAGGGACTCTGGGAAGGGGGCAGTTAGGGAAGAGACATTACTGTGGCCGGACTTTCAGCCTTGCTTTGGGCAGTGTGGAAGTGTGATGGCTAGATGCTCACAAACTCATTTCTTCTTCCCAGGGGCACAGCTGACGTAAGCCTTCCTTACAGTTGTATGGGGCCACAGGACTGAGCTGTGGCCAGTGAAATGTGGGTTGAGGTAAGGCGTGCTACTTCCAGGCACTGACCGTATGATCCTCCACACTGGCAGGATGCACAAGACCCAGGGGAGGCTGCTGAGCACTGGTGATGGAGAATCAGCCAGACAGAAGATGTCTGTGTGGAGCTGTGGCCTTCCCACATGTGTGGGACCACAACATGAATGACAAGACTCTATAGCGTTAAGGTGTTGAATGATGGGATTCTTAGCTACCGAAGTTAGTCTCCCCTGAATAATACAGATATTGATGCCAGAAGTGGGTGCTTCCATAATAAAAATGCCTGAAACATGGGATATTGGCTTAATATTCAGGCTGTGGGTGGAGAGGAGACACATCCAGAAGGCTGGAAGGCTGGCAAGTCCTGTGTTGCTGTGGCAAAGTGTTTGGTAGAACTTCACAGCGATGATCTGGAAGGGAGACCATGTGCCTGAGATTTTAGCACTAGGGGAAGTGTTTAGAAAATAGAACATTAGCTGTGTGTGTATATTTATGTGTGGTGGGCTTCTATTGTCCGCCTTTGGCAAAGTATCACAAGAAGAAGGAAGTTAGGAAAGAATGAGCTGATTTAAAAGAAATGTAAAAAAGGGAGTAAGAAGAATGCAACAGTGTGGTGCACCAAACATGTTCCAACCGTTATTGCTGTGTAACAAATTACCCTAAAACTTCGTGCATGAGCCATGTCTTATGCTCCTGGCATCTGTGCATCAGGAATTCCAGCAGGACGCAGCAGGGACATCCTGCCTTTGCTGCACAGTGTTTGGGGCTCTGCTGGAAGACCCGAAGCTGGGGACTGGGATTATCAGAAGGCTGGTTCACTTGTGTGTCTTGCGGCTGATTCTGGCTGTTGCCTGGAGACTCAGTGCCTGTCCACATATACTTCTCCCTTTGGTCTCGCCATGTGGGTTCGTTTGAACTTCCTCACAGCATGGCGGCTGGGTTGCCAGGCAGAAGTTGTATCACTTTACCCCCTGGCTTTAGCAGTCAGGCGGTGTCACCTCTGCCTCATGGCAGTTGTTGTTAGCAAGTCACTAAGGCCAGCCCGTATGCAGAGCAAGGGGAGTCAGGCTCCACCTCATCATGGGCTGAGCGTCAAGGCTCTGGGACAACACGTGACATTGGCAAGATCGCTATGGCCACGGCCAGTTTTGGGAAAATCCAGTCTACCACAGAGGGGTTGGAAAAGCTGCCTGCTTCCTTAACAGTAAGGAATGGGATAGAGAAACATTGAGACAGAGACCCATTAATGAGTTTCAATTGAAGAAAGTGATTTAGTCCTGTAGCAGAAAGTCAGATTGGGATGTAGCTGTCCCATTCAAGCCTACTGTTCCACATAGTCTCAAGACAGTCGCTGAGAACAAGAGAGGCGGGAGGGTAAGGGAGGAAACAACGAAATCAAGCACATTTTGTAATTATGTCTAGGAAAGAACCTTGAGAGTGTTTGCTTTGCAAATGGAGCTGTCTGGAAGCAAATGGATCAGACATGATTAAGTTTTTGAGTTCAAAAGGTCCAGCAGAGGACTGTAAGACCCCACAAGATAGGGGAGCCAGGGACGGAAGGGGCCCTGGTCTCTGAAGGACCCTCCTGACCCCCACACCCGTCCCCAGTCATCCCTACTGGTCCGCAGTAGACTGGGATGCAAGCAAGAAATAAGCCTTTGGGGTGTCTGTAAATAGCAGTTAGTCTACCCTGACTAATACAGGCTGTTTTCCTGGCATATCCTTTGAAGGAACAGTAAATAACATTTGTAAGTGAGTCCACTTCTCTAATGGCCTGCGCACCAATTCCCTGCCTCTCCCACTCCCGCCAGCCATGGCTGATTACTTCAAGGGTGCACAGATGACATAAACCAAGCCAGTCGGATTATGGACCTTAGGCATTTGGAATTGGGAGTTTAGTAGGCTGGTGTTTTGCATTCAGGATGAGAGAAGCCCAGTGGAGCTGGTGGGCTGTGTGGCCACTGCCTGCTGCTACACACGGAAGCAGGGGCCTGGGCTGCAGAGAGAGAGCACTGCTGAGCAGACACAGTGAGAGGACACCGTGCCCTGGGGTGTCAGGGAGGTATCCTGGTGCTCGCCTGTGTCCCAGCTGTCGTTTCTTGGGTTCTATGAGGTCCCTGATTCACATGATGAATTCCCTCTGGCCAAATCTAGTTTTAGTGTGTTTCATTTATCATAAATAAGTGTTGATTGAGACACAAGCCACAAAGAAGAGTGATCATGATATTTTGGGTGGAAAGAGAAGGTTACAAACAGATTGTACATTATGATTTTGAACTTGTGACAATAATTGTTGTATAGATATATAAGAAACGTGGAGTAGACACCAACGTATAAACAAGGTTTATCTCAGGAGGTGGAGGAGAGTATAGGTAATTAATATTGAATTTTTCCTTTTTGCTGAGAATGTATATTGCTTGTATTGCTATAGTAATCAGAAAAAAATCAAGTTTCTTTTATATTGTAGATTTGGGGGTACATGTGCAGGTATGTTACAAGGGTATATTGTGTGATGTTGACGTTTAGGGTACAACAGAACTGTTTGCACAGGTACTGAGCATAGTACCCAATAGGGAGTTTTTCAACTATTGCCTCTCTCCCTTCCCCTCCTCTAGTAGCTCCTAGTGTCTATTGTTTCCATCTTTCTGTCCATGAGTCCCCAGTGTCCAACTCCCACTTACAAGTGAGAACATGGGCTATTTGGTTTTCTGTTTCTGCATTAACTCACTTAAGACAATGGCCTCCAGCTGCATCCAAGTTGCTGCAAAGGACATGATTTCATTCTTTGTTATGGCTGCGTAGTATCCGTGGTGTATGTGTACCACATTTTCTTTATCCAGTCCACCACTGATGGGTGCTTACATTGATTCTGTGTCTTTGCTGTTGTGAACAGTGTTGTGATGAACATATGAGTCCATGTGTCTTTTTGGTAGAATGCTTATTTTTTTGTGGGGCGGGGAGTATATAACCAGTAATGTGGTTGCTGGGTCAAAGGGTAATTCTAGGCTTAGTTCTTTGAGAAATCTCCAAACCCCTTTCCACAGGGGCGGGACTAATTTGCATTTCTACTAATAGCGTAGGAATGTTTTCCTTTCTCCACAACTTTGTCAGCATCTGTTGTTTTTGACTTTTTAATAATAGCTATTCTGACTGGTGTGAGATGGTGTCTCACTGTGGTTTTCATTTGCATTTTTCTGATGATCAGTGATGCTGAGCATTTTTTCATATGTTTGCTGCTTGTATGTCTTTTTTTGAGAAGTGTCTGTTCATGTCCTTTGTCCACTTTTTAATGTTTTTTTGCGTGTTGAAAACCAGGTTTTTTTGTTTTGTTTTGTTTTGTTTTTTTGACGGAGTCTTGCTCTGTTGCCAGGCTGGAGTGCAGTGACACGATCTAGGCTCACTGCAACCTCAGCCTCCGGGGTTCAAGCGATTCTTCTGCCTCAGCCTCCTGAGTAGCTGGGACTACAGGCCTGCGCTACTGCACCTGGCGAATTTTTGTATTTTTAGTAGAGACAGGGTTTCATTATATTGGCCAGGCTAGTCTCAAACTCCTGACTTTGTGATCTGCCAGCCTCGGCCTCCCAAATGAAAATCAGTTTTTAAACATATGACCTACCTGAAAAGGAAACTGAGGAACACAAAACAAATTGAAAAACAGTTGGCAGATTTCTGGTTGGCAGGCCTTCACTTGGGCGTGTCTCCCCTTACAGAGGGGGCCTTGGGTTTCCCATTCTGCACCAGCTGTGAGCCTCATTTAGTGGCCCTCTGTCACTGTATTCTGCCACAGTTCAGCTGGGCTGCAGACTCTGGCTGTTAGGAAGGTAAAGACATTTGCCTTCTTAGGACTGGACCTCACTCCATCTGTGACAACTTGGTCTCTTGGCTACTCACTGTGGTCACCAAAGGTCATTTTGGAAAATCCGGGAGACTTCCCGGGCTTTTGTCTTCTCCATCTCTCCCCCTTCCCTGGCCTCTTCCCATTTCCCTTCTTTTTTTATGCTGCCAGCTCTGAACCCTGGACGTTCTGCTCTCTGGCCTGACTGGCTCTGCTGAAGGAGAGCTGGCTAGCCCTTAGGGCTGGCTTTTACCTTTGTGCCTTTTGAATTCTTTAGCTTTTGTTTCAGCCTTGTCCTGTCTGGCTTGGAGACATCTTCTTCCCAGGAGCCGGTTGGCTTGGATTTGTCTGATTTCCCAAAGCAGAGATGATTGGCCCAATTTGGCCCAGTGAACGTCCCCTCTCCTTCCTATCTTCCTCTTAGAGGCATGATCCTTCAGAGTGCTCAAAATCTCATTGCAAAAGCAGCATAGTTCAAACTCACAGCAAAAGGAAGACCCAGGCCATGAGCCTCTCCTGGTCCGCCAGGCTCCTCTCCTGAAAGGACACGGGTAGTCTCCCGGCTTCAAAGGATTTAGGATGTCTGCCAAAATGGAATTGTCCCAGCTCTGTGCAAAATGCTGCTAGTTGAAAACTCCTATTTTGAAAATGCTGATGAAATTTTCATTTTATTGTTTGTTTTAATTATCATCCTCTTACTGCCTTGCAGCGATGTTCTCTCCCCCCTGCAGGAATGTTAGTGCAAACACAGCTGCATCCTTGGGCTCCTGCAGAAGGGGCCTAGAAGGAGTGAAACAGACTGCAGGCAGGAAATGAGTGCGACCCCCGCTGTCTGCACGGGCCCTGGGTTTGGGAGTGTCTCCATTGTGAGAATGTACCAGCAACAGGAGTAGGTCCCCCCTGTGGGACACTGTCACTGACCAGTACTCTTGGGGCCTCCCTGTCCGTTCTCAGAGATGACTGTCCTTGATGGGGAAGTAGAGATGTGCTTTCAGTCTTCTTTTTGGGAGACGGAAGATTTATTTAGGAAATCAGAAGTTGCTGCTAAGAAGGAATCCATAGTTGACAGTCACTGAAGCACACTTCGGAAATGACTCGGTTGCTTTAAATGGTATCTGTGTTTACACCTGAGAATTGTGAATTATTCATGAGGATGTTGCGTCACTTGCCAGTCAGGATAAGCAAATACGGCTTTCCGCTTCTTGTAGCCGTGGAGGTCCTAGTGACGCAGTGCCTCACCCGCGCAGGGCAGGCTTTTCAGATCTTCTGCCTGTCACAGGGACTTTGTGGAGAACACAGCAGCTCTCCCAAAACACAAACGTCATTGATAATAACAATCATGAGCCTAAAAACCTATAAACCAAAAGAAGTATTATTCCCACTCCTACCCCTATTCCCAGCCCAGAGAACCAAGGCGCTAAGAAGTTAAGTGTTAGGTTTTAACGTCACAAAATAGGAGAGTCTGGAGTAAAAGTCAGGACTGGCTTCAAGACTCCTGTTCATTTCTCTCACACAGGCCTGAGTCAACCAAAAAGCACAACAGAACTCAACACAACAAACACTTTGTTGCTGCTTGAAGGCTACAGATAGCTTTCTAACCCTGCACTGTGGGAGGTGTTTCATCATCCAGTTTTTCAATTCCCCTTGGATTCACTTTTTTTAGGTGCCTAGACTGTGACAACGTGAGGTGAGAGACCTCACTTAAGGGTGTACAAATCCTCCGAATATGTTGATACTTATTTTGATGTAATGGGATTTGGTGGGAGCTTTGCTAGGGAAATCCTGGGTTAGCGTGTACTGACGGCAGTCAGGGAGTTTATGTGACAGCTGGAAAAGATATTGCTTAACCATCAGTATCAAGAAGGATTAGGACACCACCTTGGATTTTGTCGTGAGTGGCTGCCCTGTGGAATTGGGGTTCAACGTTCACCCTTCTATTCATGAGGTCAGTCTCCTGTCCTTCTGACTCTCCTACTGCCAGTGCCCCGCCCATTCTCCTACTGCTGGGGAAGACACAATTACACATATACAGTTATATTTTCAGAGCACATAGGACTGTGTACTGAAGGCTTTCTTCTGCCTCTCTTTATGGATCCTTTGAAATTTCATTGTCTCATCAGAGGATCGAATTCAGTGAATGCTTTACAATTAGGTTTTTATGGATAAGAGATGGGAGAAGTACCAGTATCACAGTATCCAGTTGCAAATATCATTTATTAATCTGAGAAGGCAGAGGGATTTAGGGCTTTCTGAGTCAAACACTGAAAAGCTGAACATTTTCCGTCTTTAAAAGCTCAGGAACTGGGCCCACAGGCCAGCAGGATCACTTCCTTGCCGTGTAAATTCATGTTTTAGCTGAAGGTCTCTCTCAGTGCAGGAAGAGGCCTTTGTCAAAAGCAGGCTCAGTATGGCAGCTGTCCCAGGCCTGGCCCCATTTCCTTCCCCCCCAACTCCTCCTTTCTCGTGGTGGCTTTCTCGCTCTTTTTCTTGGTATGGGGCTGGGGTCTCTCAGGACTTATCAGGTGCACCCATTCACTGGGCTTCACTGTATGAGATGGGGCTCAGCTGGAGGCAGCAAGTGTAGGGGGAAGAAAGGGCTGATTGAATTTGCTTTGGGACCAGCTCCAAGTCCTGCAAGGCTTGCAAATGTTTAGGGGGTGATTTCCATATCACTCTAAAGTTGCTTGTCTTTCTCCCAAAGGGAAAGGCTGCTGCCAAAAGTGGAGGACTTAAAGCTGGAGGCCGCCCCAAAGACGGGGAAATGAAGAAAGCGCCGTTTCTGGAGCTCCCTGACGTGTGTGTGTGTGCGCGCACGAGTGCACGTGTGCTGGTCTTTGGCTCCTTGTTAATTCCCTATAACAGATCACAGTGCCGAGGAGAAGCCAGGGCGTCTCTAGGCATTTGGCCAGCAGCAGGGGCACAGTGTGAGGCCTGGAAGGGAATTCTTGGAAGAAAATGGAATGCTGTAAAGTGGGAATCTTGGGTACTATGGGATGACAGGTGGGGTGGGGTGGCCACGAGCTTGGAGTGACTGTCCATGAAACGAAGCAGTTGAGGAAATTCAGCAGGAGGAGCCTGGATGGGTCTATTTACAGTTGGCTCTGCTGAAATCCCTTTAGGAAGTCACTTGCTGGCTTCGTCCCACATAGTTTCTAGGCTGTGGGTGGAGATCATGATCCTTTTGGAGCTCTCTGGTTCGTAATTCTGTGGAGGAGGAAGATACCAAGATGAATAAGCTGCTGTCCCTGCCTGTGAAGAGCTTGCGGCTGAGCGAGGGAGACAGGTGCAAGGCTTGGAGAAACTGTGATATCTGCCATGTCTGACTTGGTGGGAGGAAGAACACACGACTTCTGAGGTCCTTTCTAATTCTGAGGTTCTGGGTCTTCACAAAGCCACGTCAGTGAAGTCATTCATTTATTTCTTTGATGATGTAGAAGTTACATGTTAAGTATCTTTAATAAGCCAGGCCCTGGGGCTATACTGAGAAAAAAGACTGATATTCCTCTACAGATATGGAACTGAGAATTTTAACAGGTTTTGAGGAGGTGGTTACAAGAGCATTTGGTATAAGGAAGGATCAATATACATGACACCACACTCAGACGGAGCCTCCTCGGGGGTGCTCCGGGACAGTTTCTTAGAGCAAGTGACGTTTAATTCGTACCTGATGAGGATTGGCTGGGGGAAATGGGACAAGAAGGTCTTTCCTCAGGGACATCTTCAGGGAGCAGAGAGCAGGGTGGCCGGAGAGGGAAAAGCTGGGGAGAAAGTGAAGACAGATTTAGACAGGAAGGGAAACAGAAGCCAATTCCATCTGGCTTTGCCCTGGATTATCTGTATCTTCAGAAAGGGGAAGCGATGAAAGCTTTGAGGAGGAAACCATGACTCCATCAGGTCAAAAGTCACTCGTCAGAGAGGTCTTATCTGACTGCTTCCGTGGAAATTGTGTTTCCCTGATTAAGCAATCTCGAAGTACGCAGAGCTTTTCCTTCAGAACACTTTAGCCGACTTACCGTAAAAATCTTTTTCATGTTTTTTTTTTTTAATGGCCATCTCTCCCCAACGCTAATGCAAGGATCACTGTGGCTTTCCTGGCCAGTCTCTGGCCAGTGCTCCTCCCACTGGCTGACCCCTTGTGGAGATGCAGTGGTGATGGCTGAACACGAATTGGGTTGGTGGTGTTTAAGGATTCCTCTACCTGAGTTGGAAATAGCTCTTTCAGAAGACCAAGTGAGAGGGAAATGCAGGTTGAAACAGGTGGGAGGCAGCAGTGACAAATGGAAAGATGCGGCAAAAACGGAGAAGCCCTCAGGGGGTAGAAGCCACAGGATGTTGCTGTAGGGTGGACGAGAGGAAAGGGAGGGGGATGATGCCCAGGGTTCTGACTAGTGGATGAATAATGCTGCCATTTATTGAGAGAAGAGCTCTGGAAGAGGAGCCTCTAAGTGATTGGGGGGTGGAGAAGGTGAGTTCTGATTGGGGCCAGCTGCCCCCATGGCCAGCCTCAGGGTCACATTTGGCTTCTTTCATCTTGCACACCAGCAGTCTCCTCACAAGCTCTATAGCTGTCCCCCCGCCCCCATCCTCTGTACGAGGCTACTTTTCCATCTGGCTTTCCTATGTTCGTTGAGTTTGTTGTCCATGACAAGAATCCGATGTGAGCAATTATCTTTTTTTCAACTCTTCAGATGGTCACTCAAGAAGTAGTGTGGGAAAGACCACAGGAGACTGATTCAGCCTCATGCACATTCCTTATTTCTGTGCAGGCTTCTGTTCTAATTCCTGCCCACTTAAATTAGGTTGATGGACGGGGTGGGGAGGTATGTATTTTATCCAAACCTTTCTTGAAATCCTGTCCTGCCCACAAACCCCTAAAAGGGATCCTTTTTTATTATACTTTCTCTCAGTCAAAGCGAATTGAATTAGAAGTAGGCATCTGAGCCAAGGCCAGCAAACCCCACAGACTTAGCAGGGGATAATCAGATACTCTCAGAAATTTGAGTGGAGACACGGAGATGTGGTCAGTGTAAGTTCTTGAGTTGAAAAGCCAAATAGACCAGGGGCCAGGGTGCTTTGAGGGCCCATGAAAATGTAAGACCCATGGTGGAGAGATGAAATAAGGTAATCAGTTTATAGAAAGTAGACATTTGAGACCAACTGGAGGAAGGGAGAGAGGAGAACACTTTCCAGTTCTTGTGGGGTCCAGCTATCTTCCCTTTCATGGGAGTGGAAGGACCTTATTCTTTTTCTCCTCACGTGTCAACTGCGACCTTTAGAGAATGAGAATTTTGCCACTGCTCCCTGTAGCAGCAAGCTCAGGACAAAGCTTCTACTTTTTGTCTTATTTATATTTTTTTAATTTTAAAAGAATTATGGAATGTTGCAGATGTACAGACAAATAAAGAGAATAATAGAGCGAACTCATCAACTAGATTTACCAAATCTTAACATTTTCCCTTTGCCTATATTTCATTGAAGTTTCATATGCTTCTCCTCAATCACATTGTTTTCTTTCTCTTTCTTAGGGGTACCACTGCTCAAATTTTGTTTCTTATTAAATATAATTTTCCATGTTTAACATGCCCATTGATGTTATAAAGTATTATTTTTCTTGCCATTCAACTTTATATAATTGGTTTTATTCTGCAAAAATGCCACAACATTTGTTTTCACTCAACATTATGTATTTTAGATTTGTCCATGTTATTAACTGTAGGTTTAACCTTTTCTTTCTTTCTTTCTTTCTTTTTTTTTTTTTTTTGAGATGGAGTCTCGCTTTGTTGCTCAGGCTGGAATGCAGTGGTGCAATCTTGGCTCACTGCCACCTCCACCTCCTGGGTTCAAGCGATTTTCCTGCCTCAGCCTCCCGAGTGGCTGGGATTACAGACACACACCACCACGCCCAGTTTTTTGTACTTTTAGTAGAGATGGGGTTTCACCATGTTGGCCAGGCTGGTCTCAAACTCCTGACCTCATGTGATCTGCCCACCTCAGTCTCCCAAAGTGCTGGGGTTACAGACGTGAGCCACCATGCCTGGCCAGTTTAACCTTTTCATTTTCACTGCTGTGGAGTATTCTGTTGCATGAATATGTCACAATTTATCCATTCTTCTGTGGATGGTCTTTTGGATTGTTTTCTAATTTTTTCAATTACAGAAAGTGTTGCAGTAAATCTTCTCATGCATGCTTCCCAAGACACACATGGGGCTTCCCGAGGGAATGCACTTACAACTGCAGGTGCTAGATCTCAAGGCTGTGCACATCTTCAACACAGCTAGATTTGGCCAAATTCCTTTCCAAAGTGGTGGTTCTAATTTTGCCTAGCTGCACATTCCAGTTGCTCCATATTCTCACCAACATTTGGTATCACCAGGCTTTTTAATCTTTGCCAAAGATGGATGTGAAATAGTGGATCACTGTTGCACATTGCATTTCTATGATTAATAGTGGAGTTGGCCATGTTCTCAGACATTTCCCATTTTTGCTTTTTTTCTTATGAATTGCCTCTTGATCCCAGTTGCCAATTTTTCCATGGGTTTTTTTTTTTTTTCCTTTTGCTTCTTGAGTTGGGATTTTAATATATTCTGGATATAAATATTTTGTTAATTGTATGTCTTGCATATGCCTTTTTCTCATATGTGGTTCTTCTCAATTTGTGTGCGACAACTTTTGATGTTCATAGGATTTCCATTGTAATGTGAAGACTTCTTTATGGCTTCTGTTTTTTGTGTCTGATGCAGTCCTTCCTTCCTTACCCTGAGGTCATCTAGTGTCTTGAATTTTTCTCTGAAGGTTTTTAAAGATTTGCTTTTGTATTTAGTTTTAAAATCCATATGGAATATGGGGTGAGGAATATAATTTGTTTTTATCCCACACTTTACCGGGTGCCTTTTATCATCACTCTGTCATATACCAATTTTCATTATATTTTAGGTTCTATCTGTCAGCGCTCCGTTTTGTTTTACCTGTTTCTGCAGCAACACCACACTGTCTTGACTATTGCTTCATGATGTCTTAATATTTGATTTAATAATGACTTTCACTTTGTACTTCTTCAAAAGTTTTAGTCAATTTTTGATTTTCTCTCTCTATTGTAGAATTAACTCATAATTCTTGAAGATCCATGCTTGCTTTTGATTGTATTATAAATTATATTTATAGATGAATCAATTTACAAAAACTTAATAAAGTTGAGAATTGGGTTTCATAATATTATCTTCCCACCTGTGAAAATGACATACCTCTTTCATCTGTGTTTTCTTTAATATGTTTCAATAAAATTTTATTATTTTAAGCAGAAATGTAATATATATCTTTTGTTATTATTATTCCTCTATACCATTAACATTTTTGTAGTCTTTCGTTATCTTTAAGAATTATTAAATATTTTTAAAATATCCTTGCCGGTATATAGAAACACAATTGATTTTTATAAATTCATTATATCTATGACAAACTTGTTGAACTTTCTTATTGGTTCTGATTCTTTTCTATTCATTAATTTTTTCTCAGGTTTTATTCTTTTTAAAAGTTTTCTTTGGGTGTTACCTTTTTTTTTAATCTTCTTGATACTTAGGTATTTTTTTCAATCTTCATTTTCTGGTAAATGCATTTTAAAGCTATACATTTACCTCTGAATACAACTTTAGCTGTGTGTTACAAGATTTAATACATTGCATTTTTATTGTTCAATTCTAAATATTTTATTAGCAGTGACTTACTGTATTCAAAAGATTATTAAAGAATGCACTGAAACTTCTAACATATGTATGTTTTGACTGTCTCGATTTATCT